TTGGGACAGTAATATTATAAATATTATGTTCCGGACAGTAATATTATTAATATTATTGTCTAAGACAGTTTAATTACTGTTGGAGACAGTAATTTAACATCGAAGACAGTAATATTAATTTAAATAAATCTTTTTTAAGGAAAAAAAAAAAAAAAGTCAATTAACAGTTAAGTTACTGTCTCCGACAGTTAAATAACTGCTGGAGACAGTAATTTAGCAACGAATACAGTAATATTAATTAAAAATATTTTTTTTAAGAATAAAAAAGTCAATTAACAGTTAAATTACTGTCTCCGACAGTTAAATAACTGCTGGAGACAGTAATTTAGCAACGAATACAGTAATATTAATTACAAATATTTTTTTTAAGAATAAAAAAGTCAATTAACAGTTAAATTACTGTCTCCGACAGTTAAATAACTGCTGGAGACAGTAATTTAGCAACGAATACAGTAATATTAATTAAAAATATTTTTTTTAAGAATAAAAAAGTCAATTAACAGTTAAATTAATGTCTCCGACAGTTAAATAACTGCTGGAGACAGTAATTTAGCAACGAATACATTAATATTAATTAAAAATATTTTTTTTAAGAATAAAAAAGTCAATTAACAGTTAAATTACTGTCTCCGACAGTTAAATAGCTGCCGGAGACAGTAATTTAGCAGCCAAGACAGTAAAATTAATTAAAATATTTTTTGTAAGAAAAAAAAAAAAAAAAGTCAACGCCGGAGGCGGTCTCCGGCGGTCAACGCCGGAATCTGGCCGGAAAAAAAAATATTTCAAAAAAAAAATTATTTTCTGAAAAAAAAAAAGTTTTGGGGGTTGATGTGATATATTTGTTAAAATCCGGGGTCAATGTGTAATATTAAAGAAGTTAGAGCATAATGGGTGGAATTGATAAGAATTAGGGTTAAGATTGGGGTCAAAATTGAAATTTGGGTTAAAATTGGTTAATTGGTGAAATTGGGCTAGATTGGGGTGTAAATCATGAAATTGGAGTTGAATTGGGTTTCAATGAATTGGGGGTAATTTTGGTATATATAAAGGGATTTTCCTTATTTGCAAATAAGTTTGAATGGGGTGGATTTATTTGAAAGACAAAAAAAATGGATGTCCCTATTTTAATTAAGTGCCCTTGTCATGGGCCTATTTGTCATTACCCCATCTTATAATATTTAATTGGTTTTCGCTGATTTTAGTTTTTTGTAGCAGTTTGTTAGATTGGATTTTGTTTTTTTGGTAAGCACATTGTTTTTTTTTCCCAGTGATTTGCATATCTATATTTATAAAGCTCGCTATTAAAATTTTGTAGTGAATTTTGGTAATTTCATAGTGGATATCAATATTTTCGTTGTGGATTTCGCGTAATTTTCGTTGTGGATTTTTATAGTTGTAGTGGATTTTCGTTGTGGGTTACATTATATACATAGTGAATTTTGATATGTTTGTAGTGGATTTTCGTAATGAAATACATTAATTACATAGTGGTTTTCAATAATGATATGCCTAATTGGGCCAACCCGATGGGCCTACAAATTATTTACCTACTGGGCCACGAGCCCAATATCGAAAACCACTATCACCGAGGCCCAATCACCTTCAAGTAAGGTTTGGGCCCGACAATCTCAACTAAGCTATAAATAAAGGACGTTTGAACGCATTCCTTAAGGTACGTCCTATTAACTGAGCAATACTATTAAATGTATTCTCTGAACTATTTCTACTATCAGGACGTCTGACTTGAGCGTCGGAGGGGTTTCCGCCGGATCAACCCCTGGCCTAGTTCACGTGTTCTATGATCGCAGGTATCTCAAGGTCATCAAGCTCGTGAGCCAGTGATCGACTCTGCTCTTCCAGCTCATCCTATCTCAACTATCTAAGGTGATCTATTTCTAGCATCATCATTTTGGCGCCGTCTATGGAAGGCAAAC